ACGTGTTAATGTGTTGAACGCGAACTACATGGTAGGCGGAGTGAGTGGTGTTAGGTTTTTTTCGTTACGGAATTTCATGATTCGGTCGCCGCGCTCAAGGCCGTGATAAAAGCTATGCAATAGCTTAGAAAAAACGTTGCTAATCTGTGACGGTAAGTTATCGGAAGTACCGCTTGTTCGATAACGTATTTTTCTATTTAATTAAACTTTCAAATTGAAATCGTAATTCGAATCTTTGTAGCGCCACCGAAACGAACCCCACACTACATCCCGCTGTGCGAGACTCGATCACAGAGCGGGACTGAAATCTGTTTATTCAACGCAGCGTTGTGTGGTCAGCCCTTTATATTTTTAAAGATGTAAGGTTAATAGATGTTAGAGAAGAAAGGAAATGTTTATATTATCTGTAATTTTTTTTAAAAGATTTTTTTTTTATTGCCCTTGTAGGCAGACGAGCATACCTGATGGTGAGTGGTTACCGTCGCCCATGGACTTCAGCAATGCCAGGGGCAGAGCCAATTTGCTGCCTACAGACCTACGGGATATATCATATTTGAAAATAAAAAGAACAAAATGTATGAACTCAGCTTGAAATTATAGAAAAACAATGCTAAGTTAGCTAATATAAGCTCTTTGATGTTGAATGTGCAAAACATATCTAAATAGACGACATACTCATAAATGTCCTGTCAGTTTATACTAAAATAAAATGTTTTCATTCAATGATATTTTAATATTGTGCTTAGAATTTTAGAATTCTATAATTAAAATTCGGAACTTCGAATTATTTGATGTTGTAGTTTGAATAATCTATGGTGTAAGACTTTTTGGCGGGAATTCTAGTTACGGAGTTGTGTGATTTTTTTAAATTAGTTAATTCATTGTTTGTTCAATTTTAACATTAATAAAAGGGGCTTATTAACCCTCGATCACTTATAATAATAGTGCACAAATGTGTAAAAGCGAAACAAAACCGATGGCGTCACTTTTCGAGTTTTTCGAGCTCTCAATATTTATTTACTATTTTAACTAGCGATATTTTCATTTCATTCGTCCAAATTCGTTGTCTAATCTTGCCCCGTTTAATTCGGTTTTATTGCATTAATAATAAATTTCATTATACTTTTAATACAGCAGACATATTGGTCTTTGCTATTAAATACTTGGCTGTATGGGCTGGTTATCTTGGAATCATACAAAAAATATATAGCCTGAAAATATAAACACAATCAAGTCATCTATGTATGAATTGGTACAGATCGAAAACATGTGAACGCACTTCGAATCACCTATTTCAAATAATTATGCCTTTTAAGTGACTTTGAAATCGTCATTACCCTACCGGGTGGTAGGGTAATGACGATAGCGGGTGCTTAATACATTTATACACCGATAATTCGCTTAATACATCTTTGTAATTAAAGGTGCGTTTTATGGGATCAGCATCAAGGGCTGGATGTTTTTAATTGAACTTCAATTAAGTTTACTCCATTCAAACGGCTGAAGAAGATTTTTTGTTGTGATATTTTTTTCCAAATTTTAAACTATTTAAATGGTTCTACTGTAGAGTTGCAAAAATGTCGTTTAAACCAAATTACCTTTCACCCCTCGATTTTTATTGTGATTAGGCTAATTATAATATTGGCTGGTTTGATTTTTTATGAGATCATGCTATTATTTCGCATCTCGCCGTGGAAGTCGTTCGTGACTTGTGTTGACTTTTTTTTTGGGATTGAAGGACCACTGGTGGCTCGGAGGCTTTTTCAGTTTCACCAGTAAAGGTGGGCGAGCAAAGGTTCAGCCAGGAGGGGTGGGATTTGCTAACAGCTGCTCGAGCGCCACCGAAGGAGACCTAACAACTCAAGAGCAGCGGCTTCGCGAATGAATCTACTACCGGATCGGAATCGCGACCCGTTGAGAAGATCCAGCGAGAAACTCAGCGAGCTGATGCATGGGTTAGGAAAAGGTCAGGTTCCACCGAGATGCGACTACACTATGCCGGCAATTGTATTTCATAGCCCGGTACCAAATTTTTCATATAAAATACAGTTTGTGCTTATCCTTTAGTCAGCTATGGTTTTGAAATCACCGAATTAACTGGTTTTTTTATTGCTTTGATGGGTGCACGATCTTATAGCCCACCTGGTGTTAAGTGGTTACTGGAGCCCATAGACTACGACGTAAATGCGCCACCCACGAAACTCATAGATATCATAACATGAATACCACCGCTCATCTTATCAAAGAAAACGCGTGACTGCTCTGCTACAAAGATATCCGGGATGACTCTATCTACCCGGGTGGGCTCAATAACGCCCAATTACGAGTAAATGTTGGGCTACCTAGTCGATAAATCGGTTTTACCGGCTAGCGATAACTACATAATAAGGTCCGAAAGTGTGAACAGTCCTGATGTACCAAATGACAGCATACTGGTTTGGCCACTCGTCTTGGAAGCGACAGAAAACGTGACGGAATTTAGGCTTCGTCCGTCAGATTGTATTGATTTCTACAGGGTGTTCTTTTTCATAAAAAAAAAGTATCTATATCTATATCTCTATTGATGTGTTAGAGCTAAATATGCGCATCAATAAAATTGTTAATTGTGCAATATTTAACGATACTCATAAAAACGGTCTTTCGTGGTAATTTCAGAGATTTTCCTTTGTATCACAATTGTTAAATTTCAGATATGCATCGAGTACGGCGTCTTGTAGAATTAATACAATTAAAGAAATCGTCGTTGTCAAACCAAAATCTGCTGTGTGCACTTTTTGAGATTTTTACTTTTTGACCTTTTCGTATAGGTAGTTCACAGCCCTATGTACCGTATAAAAAAAAACTGTTATGTGTCTATAGCAGTGATTCTCAACCTTTTTTTTGTTGCGGCACATATTTAACGATTTCAAAATTTGGCGGCACACAAAAAAAAAAGAAAAATTATTTACTTACTACAAAACACTGCATAAATAGTTTATCAAAAAATTTTAAAATACGAAATAAACTAAAATATAGTATAATTTTTTTTTGTTGTTTTAAATATATATTCATGTTTAAAATATTTTTCTTTTCAAATGATATAATTTAATAATATTAACATTATTATATATTGGCAAAATTGGGCGGCACACTTTTGAAATCTGGCGGCACACAAAAGTGCCGCGGAACAGTGGTTGAGAATCACTGGTCTATAGCTTTAATATTTATCTATACTTTTCATTTGATATATATAGAACTTAAAAATTCACCTTCATATAAAATTTTATACGAAAATGTTTTTACTCGTTAGTCAAAATATAAGTAGTTTTTGCACATAGCAGATTTTAGTTTGACAACGAAGAAATATTGCTTGCGAAAATGCCCGAGCACTCACGAAAAGTATTCATATAGTTAAAGTTTTCAGTAGGCAGCGGCTTGGCTCTGCCCCTGGCATTGCTGAAGTCCATGGGCGACGGTAACCACTCACCATCAGGTGGGCGGTATGCTCGTCTGCCTACAAAGGCAATAAAAAAAGTTACTTAATTTTTTTATTTTTTTTTTATTTTTCAACAACACCCTGTATTTAAACAGATCTAGTTTCATCAGAGCACCGTGTCCAAACACAAATCGTGCGCATCATCGGCAGCCATCTCTAAATGGTAGATCTTTAGCTGCGATTAGCGTTTTTAATATAAAACTAAAAAGGGTTTTATTGTAAACTCTGAAGGAAATCGTTCTGTCGTTACGTAATGTTTAGCAGCATCATTGATCTTTTAATGCAATATGGAATTTTGTAAATGTAACGTTGAGGTGTGAATTGTTGAACGATTTCCGTAATTAAATAAAGTTAAATTCTTCTATATTCAATTTGAAATTGATCGTACATGTTGTATGTAGAATGTAACAAAAACCCAAAATAAAATAAAACTTAGGCATAAACTTGTCTATGTTCGTTCGAAAAGAAAAAAAAGTACAAGTCGTAAATTATCTGTATATTAATACGTGAAGGAAAAACTTTGTACCCCTTTTTACGAAAATTGCGCGGACGGAGGAGTATGAAATTTCACACACTTATAGAGAATATAGCGAAGAAGTGCCGAATGGTAATATTTTTTTTAATTATGCATTAATAATACATTAAATCAATAAAAAAAACGTTACACATACTACTATGTATTTGACGCACACACGCATGCATACTATTTATTTATTGTCAAACTTTTGTTCTTGACGTCTGTGGTCAAATTGAGAATATTAATTATTGTTTGTCTTTATTAATATTTTTTCTTTAGTTTTCAATATTTTTTGTTGTCTTGGCGAAATTTGTGATTATAGAAGTACAATAGTCTTTGATAATAGAATCATAATAGTGTACAAATTAATAATTTCAATTAATTATAGTCGAATTTCGACTACCGGGCGACCACTAGTGTAGATAGTTTTTTTTAATTCCACAAATATGAAAAAATGATCTAAAGTCTAAATTTGTATGAAAGCTGTTCCCTGATAGAAAAGTTCCGTGCGAAGGTCCGGCGCGGCCTCTACGCAAACAAGCTAATGGCGTAAATCGCTCGTGGCCACACACCGAAACCCATTAAGTTCAAAACTCAATAAACATCATTGTTCCAACGCTTAACTAGGAAAATAAACCGGCGCGGCCGCCCGGGGCCGCTTTAGCCCGATCTCCAGCTCGCCGCAGCCTCTAATATTCATAAGTCAATTTCCTGGACCATTAATACGTAACGAAGTAGCGCAAATGGTCTTATCGCTTGTGCGCGATTACTTGCTCGCCGCTCTCTTACATAATTCAACGTATTAAACGAAATTGTTTAAACCTTATTGCTCGATTACGTTTCTCCACCCCGGGCACGCCTCGTTTCCCGCCGCCAATCGGCTGACGTGCTCCGGTCGGGCCCCGCTTCGTTCCCGTCCCCTCCTTCTAGGTTCCCGCCCGTTTCTGTTCCCGGTTTCAGTCGGTGTCGCGTTGTGATATTCGAATGTTGGCCGGGAACAAACGCGTCCGCACCGCGCCTCCCCAACTACGGATTACAGTGCGAACTCTCGAGGGCTCATCGTGTCGCGCGTCGTTACCGTTTCGCTAATTGACCGCTAACTTCATGTGTGTTGTGAATGTGTTTGATGTCAGCGGATAGACAGTCGCGCTGTGTTCGGGTCAGTGAAAAAATTGTGATGAACTCTGAAACCGAACTGTTAAAATAGACGTTGGTATGACGATGCTCGCGATGGCTCGGGGATCAGAGGATCGTAGGGTTGAAGGGCAAGCGGAGAGCGAGCCTGAAGCTGAGGCGAACGGAGAAGTGGACGTCGTGGGGGTGGAAGAGGCCGCGCCTGTCGACTTGACACGACGCTTGGGCCTCACCAGACCTCCGGAGAGACCAACGATAGCGTTTTCCGTCGAGAACATTCTAGACCCCAACAAGTTCACGGGAAGGACGGAGGGTACATTAAGATATGACGACCAATACTGGAGACAGCAGTACGACAGGGAGGACAGTGATTCAGGTAGGATAGAAATTTATTTTTAAAGTCAGTTAATGCTCGTTACGTCGAATATGAAAATAAACAATTGTACGGTATTAAATTGAAAAGTTTTTTGGTCTTTTCCATTTATTATCAATAGCTTCAAACATTATTTGTTAATTTAGTGAGATATTTTGTGAACTTATGTGGAAATAAGAATATATGGATACCAGATAGAGCCAACCTTTTTAATAAAGCTTTTCATTGTGTTTATTTTTGTATTTTAATGTTTCTTTTTGACCAATTTTGTGAATTATAATTAATATTAATTAATAGTAATTTGTACGTTCGCTTGCTTTTCTTTAATATAATATAGAGATGAGCATTTTTTAATAGTTTACCACAGCCATTCGTTATTTGACTTTTAACCTGTTTTTTTATTAAATAAAATTGTCATAGACACCGGTTCAAACAGTTTGGTCCATTTCCTCACACAGTGGTATAATTTCACAAGTTGTATAAACTTGCCATCGTTAATCAAAAACGATACTTCAATTGTATAGCATATATGTGTAATCTGTCATATCCACGACATTAATTACAAAATTTAAAAATAATTTACTAATAATTAAAACTTTTTTACTGGTGATAGGACCTCTTGTGAGTCCGCGCGGGTGGGTACCACCACCGTACCTATTTCTGCCGTGAAGCATTAATGCGTTTCGGTATGAAGGGTGGGGCAGCCGTTGTAACTATACTTGAGACCTTAGAACTTATATCTCAAGGTGGGTGGCGCATTTACGTCGTAAATGTCTATGGGCTCCAGTAACCACTTAACACCAGGTGGGCTGTGAGCTCATCCACTCATCTAGCGATAAAAAAAAAACTAAATTTACGTTTTAATCTCGCGTATAGGACAGTTTTCGTGGTCACTGAAGACGATTATTCGAGAAGTCGGAATTAAATTGTAAAGCAGTTGCAGTTACGTCTAGGATTCACGGTAACCAAAGAGAAAGTTATATTGCGTAATGTAACAATATCTTAATATGTATAAACAATGCCTTAATTCTTTGAACGAAAAAATAATTTCCAATTTAAAATACAAATAAATAAGAAACGATTTTAATGACTACTGAAAAAAAACTATGATTTTATCCTTATATTTTGTATAGTTAGATATTTTTTTTGGTAAAACGCAATTTATCTTGGGTTTTATGTTCACAGTTAAATATCGACGCGACGCTTGAAAGGCAAACGTGACTAAGCGACAATGTGTGAACCTTACAGTAGACTAATTTAAAGTTGAAATACCTGAAAAGAGAATTTATTTTAACGAATCTAGCTGTACTAGAATCTAGCTAGTAGCTGTAGGATTGAAATAATTTTAATAGACCTAGAAATATATTTTTTTTGCGCATCGAATATGGTTATTGCCTATCATTTATGTACTAAGAAGTTATTGTCGCTTAGTCACGTTTGCCTTTCAAGCGTCGATATGTTCACAGTACTGTATGTTTTTCTCTAGGTATAGGTATGGCAAGAATCATATAGTGTAATCCATGGGTCTCAATAGCCCGTATAAATCATGAGTCTGCCAGCTAGCCGCAGCAGTCGAACCATAGCTTAAGATTCTGTTCAAACTTTTAGGAAATTTAGAAATACTAAAATAACGATCCATGAAAACAGTCAATTTACTTGAATTTTAACGGTCAAATTGTGCAAAAACTCTGATTAATTCGCCGACATAAAAAGGTGACGGGTATTTTAAACACTATTTTAAAATAGTTGACAATTTATATTGTAAGTTTTTGTACGAGACTATTATGAAGCGTAATGGTGGTGTTTCTGTATATTTAAGGACACAAATAACTTATTTACGACTACGATATTTTTAAATTACTTTTTAAGGAACACTTACTGGTGGCCCGGAGGCCTTTCCAGTTTCACCAGGACAGGTGGGCGAGCAAAGGCTCAGTCAGAAGAGGTGGGATTTGCTAACAGCTGCCCGAGCGCCTCCAAAGGAGACCTAACAACTCAAGAGCAACTGCTTCGCGAATGAATCTGCTACCGGATCGGAATGGCGACCCGCTGAGAAAATCCGGCGAGAAACTCAGCGGGCTGATGCATGGGTGATAAAACGAATTACAATTCTACTTATTTCTGCTGCGATGCAGTGATGCGTTCCTGTTTAAAGGGTAGGGCAGCCGTTATACAATTGACTATGACCTCATGTCTCAAGGTGGGTGAAGGCACTTACTTTGTCTATGGGCTCCGGTACCCACTTTACACTAGACGGAACGTGAGTCTATTCACGAATCTACGAAAGAAAACAAAAATAATTAAGATGTCTATAAATATATCATTCTACCGTCTCTTAGTTTGTTTGTAATTTTGTTTGTTTCAGCTTCACATGGAATGTATCAGATTGATTTTGATCGGATATAAACTTACTAAGAGACGGCTCCGGAAACGATAACCTCACACCCTGTATCTTTATATTTGTACATGATATTTTTATACAGGGTGTGAAGTTATCTTCATTCACTTTTCACTAGTATTTGTTGTTAAGTTTTCCTAATACATATAATAAATAAATATTTACTAACAATCACGCCACGTTAACTGGTCCCGTGATAAGTTCGTAAAGAACTTGTGTTACAGGTACCAGATAACGGAAATAAATGTAATATTTTTATTATACACATACATATATTTAATAGACGTCCATAACCCTGGAAAAGACATTTATATTTATCATACAAATATCTTCCCTTGGCGGGATTCGAACCCGCGACCCCCTTGTGTAGTGACCATGTCACTTACCACTACACCGGACGGCCGTTAATGTTTCTAATTTTGTTGCGGTACCTAAAAGGATTATTTTTGTTTAGTACCATCATCGTAAATTGAACTAATGGGTCTATATATTTTATTTTCGTACAAGCACAAAGAAGCGCGTCTAATATTTACTAGTAGGTAATATCGAACAAAGAAATATGTCAAGTGTGAACGATTTGTTTTTGAACGAGAAAAATCACTTGTTATTGACTTCACTTTTCTGGTTTCGAACGCTCCAGTTTGTTTTTGTTTTTATTTGTACATAATCAGCCTAAAGTTAAAGCGAGCGTGACTTTTTTTTCGTAACTCAATTTTTTTTTTGTTGTTGATCCATTATCTGCAACTGTAAAAAGTTTTAGTTTGAAAAAATTATAATCGTCAATATACAATGACTAAGAATAAGGTGAGATTTTTATAGATTACTATATAGCCGTACTTGCCCGCTTCGCTGGTCATTGAAAATTAACATTATTATTTATTGTCATATTATAAGGGAGTCCAACACTCATATAAATATCCATTAAGTACATGTATTTTTTCCATGGATACCAAGTTTCAAGTCAATCGGACGCACGGTTCAGTAGTTATAACGGAACATCTGTAAAAACCACTGTAGATTTATATATTATTTTTTATTGCTTAGATCGTTGGACGAGCTCAAAGCCCACCTGGTGTTAAGTGGTTACTGGAGCCCATAGACATTCACAACGTAAATGTGCCACTCATCTTGAGTTATAAGTTCTAAGGTCTCAAGTATAGTTACAACGGCTGCCCCAGCCTTCAAACCGAAACGCATTACTGCTTCACGGCAGAAATAGGCAGGGTGGTGGTACCCACCCGCGCGGACTCACAAGAGATCCTACCACCAGTAATTATGCAAATTATAATTTTGCGGGTTTCATTTTTATTACACGATGTTATTCCTTCACCGTGGAAGTCAATCGTGAACATTTGTTGAGTACGTATTTCATTAGAAAAATTGGTACCCGCCTGCGGGATTCGAACACCGTTGCATCGCTTCAACACGAATGCACCGGACGTCTTATCCGTTAGGCCACGACGACGACGAATATTATTGATGATCCATATTTAAATTTTAAAAACCTATATCATGATTTGATAAATTCTTATCTCGATTAGTATCTGGGTAAAGGCTTAACAAGTGAACTTGCTACTCAGGCCTGTCTGTTTGGATAATGGTTACGGAAGATTATGAAAATCGAAGAAAAAAATGTATCACCTTGAGATATAGGGTGTTGTTTTAGTATATCAACTAGTATAGGATTTTAGCATCCATTGCATTAAATAGCATTACCGTACCATTAAAAATCGAAATATGATATTGTAATATCTAACACTCTGAGTATTTGTTCTTGAAATATAATTTTACTATTCTTTCACTACGATGTCATTAATCTTTTCAGTGCTGAGTTTGTTTTCACATATTTTGCAGTAATTGGTAAAGGATTTTTGAAATGAAGTAACAAATAAAAAAAAAATAAAAAAAAAATTTCAAAAATCAATTCTAAGCATAATAATTTGAAATGGTTATTTATAAATGCTATTAACTTAATAAAAGCCGTTATATATGAGCTCGCTAAGACACGTCCATACAGGTCTATAATACCTATGATTAATAATCAAACTGCGTGCAATAGTCGGTATTTTGACGCTCCGCACTTTATACGCATCAATAGAGAGTCGATCTATCGACGGTGCGCGCTCAAATGGTTAGCTATAGGTAGGAATGCTGTATAACAGAGCTATTGTTTATGTTAAATTACTTTTGACATATAATGATATTATAAACGTCGGGCTAAGGCATGAAAATAGTTTTAATAATCTCTATTATAACTCCGAATTATCTTATCATATAACTTTAAACAAGCAATTCTTGTATATATATAATCTGAATCCCGGAAACGGCTCCAACGATTTTCATAAAATTTAGTAAGTATACAGGGGATTTCGGGGGCGATAAATCGATCTAGCTACGATTAATTTTCAGAAAATGTTGTTTTATTCGTGTTTTCCATAATCAACTCTTCCTGACATCTATTGGCGAATAATAATACTATTTTTCTTAATTGAAGGCAACAAGATGGCGTTATCAAAAAAAATCATCTAGTTATAATAAAGAAACTATTAAAAGTTTTAGTCATTAGTCAAGTTTAGGTTGACGCTGAATCTGGGCACAGGTTATT